CTTCTTTTAGCATAAGCATAATCCTTTGCGTTGGGCAAACCTGAAACAACTGCCGCACTCAATGCACTGCGATTTAAATTCATTTGTGATGCATCGTACCATTCTTTTGATTCTGCATCGTAACACTCGACGTACGGAATCGTAGCGGAACCTGTTTATTAAATAAAAATTTAAACTAAATCCGAAAAGAAAATGAGAGAGAGAGAGAGAGAGAAAGAGTGAAAATTCTCAGGACCATTAAATCCTCCGACTACAAATATCATATCGTCTAATATAACAGTTGCAAAATTACTTCTGGGACTAAACATTTCAGGTATTGGATGCCATTGTAAATCCGGTCCCATTGGATCAAGTTTTTCACCTGTTAAAAACAAAAATTTTAATCCTATATTTTCTTTACGAATTTTCGTTAAACAAACGAAAATTGTTTTTTTTTTTTTTTTTTTTTTTTTTTATACCTAACCTGTACTTAGTCGAGTGTAACCGTTAAAACCGCCTAATGCATAAATTGAATCTTTATATCCTATTAAACTAACACCAGATCTGGCACTGTTCATGCTTGCTATTAAAGTCCACTGATTTGTAAAAGGATCATAAACTTCGGCAGAACTTAACACTTCTTGTCCGTTAAATCCTCCAGCTATGTACATCTAAAAATAATTATATATATATATATTTTTATAAACTTGATTAAATAAAATGTAATCGAAAAAAAAAAAAAAAAAAATTTACTTTGTTGTTTAATGATGCTGCACTAGCATCCGATCTTTGTTTGTTCATAGAAGCAACCATTTCCCATTGATTTCTTTCGGGATCATATCTTTCGGCCGAACTCATACGAACTCTTCCATTGTAACCACCCATTGCATATATTAAACCGTCTAAACATAATTAAAACCTTCTTTTTTTTAACCGTACGGTAATTATTCAGATGATTCATTATCTTTCATATATCTTTACGTACTCATGGTCGCAACGCTAACGTAACATCTAGCATGATACATGCAAGCTCTTTCTTTCCAGACTCTGTGTATGGGATCAAATGACCGAACGGAATTAAAATGTTCGTTTCCATCGAAACCGCCAATCATGTAAATGATTTGGCCTAACGTACATAATCCGTGATAAGCTCTCGGTTGTAAATCCGTATCAACTGACAAAAACCACCTATCTGCTCTGCAAAAGAAATCAAATGTTGTGTCTTTTACTCTAAAACAACAACAAAATCTATCTATCTAACGAGTAGATGATGATCAAATATGTCGACATTATACCTCGTGTCGTAGGTTTCAACGAAATTCGTCGGACTTCCAGCACTCCAACCACCGACGGCAAATAAAACTTCGAAAGGAGTTCTCGGTCTCGCCAAAGAATGATTCATGTCAATGTCGGCATCAGAATTAAGAAATTCTAAAGCTGGTTCCAACACTCTAAGACATTTTTCGTCATTGGCAATGTAATTTATTTTTTTTAAATTTTCAACGAAATTAACGGATGTCAATCCGAACCTAATGCATGATAATAACTTTGGTAAAAAATATTTTCTCAAATCTAAATTTTTTTCCGTCCATTTTTGTATTGTTTCCCACAGGACTTCTTCGTTTCTAACGTTGAGTTCGTCGTGTTTTAAAAAATGTTGCAAATCTCCGACGTTAACATCACACAATTCCGGACTTTCTCTTGTTATCTTTTTAAAATGACTTAATATAAATTTTAAAGTTTCCGACGCGAGTTCGTGACACGAATATACTTTTGCAAACTGATAAATTCCTAAACAGTTATCTATTCTAAGTTCTTGTGATAAAAATAGACAACATATTTGTACGACACCGAGTACTCCATATTGATCGGCAATAGGTAAAAGCATTTCAACATTTTGAGCCGTCACCGCACACGTTCCAGTATATGCATAATCCAATATTAGCTCAATATATTCTCCAGGAATATTTTCCGTTATTATTTCGTTTGTATTTTTACCACCATTTAAATTTGTCGTAAATAATGCTTTAAAATAAGGACTTATGGCGGATAAAATTGCTCTGTGTACTTTATACTTTTTACCTTCCTCTGAAAAATAATAATAATAATAATAACACAATTTATACAAATATTTAATGTTTTCCCTTTTTTTTTATATATAATCGAACAATGAAATTTTTTTTTTCAAAAAATAAATAAAAGAAAATTTTAATTGACATCATACCAGATATTATGGTTCCGTCACATAATTCTTGATTTTGTCTTAGTTCTGTCCAAACTTGTGGAAAATCGGCAAATCGCAAGCAATAACACTTTTTGTGTTTAAACGGCACTTTTCTTTTAGTTAATTTTAATTTTGAACACAATGTTCGATTTCTTGAAGGAGATCTTTTCAGGTTCCGAAAATTACCTTCCATTTTAACATAAAAGGATTAAATCATTCATTCAGAATTTTTAATTGTCTAAGGCTACCAATAATGTTTATTTTTTTATTTACATTTACATAGTTTTTTGTTTTTAAAAATATTCCTTACCTCCTTTAACTTGGAAATGTGTAATTCTCGAATTTTTATTTATTTTTCATTTTCCTTCAATTATTATTTACTTTATTTACAATTTTATATTATTATTATTATTATTTAATTATTATATAATAATATAATTTTTTTCATTATTTAAATTCATTTCTTGTTAATTTTTTATTTTTATATCTTCATGGATGGGAATGACGATGACGATGTGTCTTCTCATCACTCGAATTTTATATTTATTTTAACTTTTCATCTACGGTAAAAAAATTTACAAAAAAAAATTAATTAATTAATAAAATTCACAATATTTTATAAATAATAAACACAAATCAAATCATTTTTTTAAATGAAAAATTAATTTATGAGAAATTTAAAGTATTTAAATAACTCATTGTTAAAATTTATTGAAACACTTATATATATTACTTTTACAATTGTTAATTATTATTAACTTTTCGTCCTTGAACTTAAATCTATGACCACTAAAACAAATAAAATTTATTTATTAAATCCGGTATGGAAACGCGGAGGAAATTGAAAAAAAAAAAAAAAAGAAATATTTTTTTTTGTCTGTAATGAATGAATCAATTTGACAATATACACAACTTCAATGTTTTAATTCGTTGAAAATTCTTATTATTATTATTATTTTACTCTTTTTCTCTCTCTCTCACTTTTTCAAGTTTGAACATTTAATACAAATTTCCCTTAAATATTCTTCTAATAAAAAGAAAATTGTTTTCTTCTATCTGAGTAGTTTGATTTTATCATCCGAAACCGATGCCGCCGTTTTATAATATTTTTCCATGACTTCAAAAAGTTCCTCGTGAAGCTAAAAGGAAAATTTAAAAAAAAACCAAAAAAAGTTTTTTAATATGGCGTCGTTTCTACATTTTCAAACCGAGAAAAAAATATTTAAAATAAAAAAACAGATTTAATCTCACTTCTTTGTATTCGCTATCCGTTTTCCCATGATTTTCCAGCTCCAATAAAATAAGATCGTAAATATTCAAAGGTAACCACGTTGTCGGCACGTGCGGAAGCATGGAATATTTTATGTTGAAATGATCTTTACCGTGACCGAGAACGGCTTTTGCATAATCTATGGCAAGTTGTGCGCTTTCTTCTAATCGTCCGTTGTCGAATAACAACCTCAACAATTCCGAAGGATTTCTCAACTGTAAACAAATTACAAACGGAATCCTTAACCGACATACTATTAACAAAAAAAAACCCAAACCATCTCTTGTATACCTTGTAAGAAGCTAATAACCAATGAGGAATAAAAACGCCCAATTGTAAAAGTTTGTACGTGATGGCTCTGTGAAGGCAACTACTTCCTTCTGCTTCGTACTTGTTTAAAAACGATTCCAAAAGTCTCCATGCCAAATTTGCTGCGGTGCCATCGCCTAATTCTACGGACAAGAAAAATTTTTAAATTCCTTTTTTTCCCCCCCCCAACTTTTTTTTGTTGGTTGTTCGTTATTCGATACCTACGAAAATCAAAGTAATACCTGTTATATCATTTTCCGTCAGCCATTCCCACGCTGAATTACACTGAGTTTCATCTAATCTAACGCAATTAGCTGCCAGACCGGATAAAACAGTTTCTGGCGATATGTCTAAAAAAAATCAGCATTTGAATAAATTTTGTTTTGTCTTCGAGAAATTTTTTTTTTAAAAAACACCACTCACTGAACATTTTGCATATTTCAAGGGCATCTTTATAAAATCCGACGTTGGTGAGAATTCCAATGACTTCGTACGGGCTCAAAACGGAAGAAACTTTATTTAAATTCTCTGGAGAAAATTTTAAAAGTCGTAACCTGGCTTTGCATAGAAAATATTCTTTTAAAATGTCATTTATTTCAAGGACTTCGACTTGTTTTTTCAAATGTCTGCTTAAATCCTGGAAAAATTCAAAGTTAAAAATTTTACATTTTGATGTGCGTGCACTCTCCTCTCCCTCTCTCTTTCCCAAATAAAAATTATTATTGGAAAATCGCATAAGGGTAAAATCCAAAGTCGTACCCGAGGAGAATCGGAAATGACAACGTCCATTTCTTCATTAAGAAAAGGTTTCACTATCCAAGCATCTTCTTTTTTGACTAAATTCAAACTGTTTATGGCAGCAATGTAACATTTGCATTGTTTTTCTAATATTTTAATGCACGTGTCTGTATTGTCGATGGATAACCTAAAAGCTTGTTCGTACATGACGCAAGCCGCTGAAAATGATAAATATTATAAAGGCGAATGAGTTTTCGATGAATTCAAAAGTGTAAAATGAGTTTAAGTAAGTACCGACCTTTTCTCATGCTTCCTTTCAACGTGTGAAAAGCGTAGAGAAAATTATAATAATCGTTATTTACAACGTCGAGAGATCTCGCTCTTCCCTCGATAATTCTTTCGAGATCATCTTGCATTCCAGAAAATGAAAAATTCATTAGAGTGTCCAACATTTTGGAATTGAATAATGACACGACTAATTGTCGCAGACAATCTTTTTTCCTGTCTCCATCAGGATTAGATACTAACGAATCGTAGGCTTCCTTATATTGTCCCAAATGAAGGTGATTTAAAAATACTATAGAATACAGCGTCGGAAGTTCCGGATCATTCTGATCCGCAAATTCAATGGCATATTTAGCTAAATTAATTATCAAATCGTACAGGTTTTGTTGCTCGAATAATTTTATAACCTGAAAACCCGAAAATTTGATTTATCACACACGAAAATTTTTTATTTAAAGCCTTCAAACTTGCAAATGATATTCCAAAAAAAATTACTTTGAGGTAATACATCACGGTGAGCCTTTCCCTGTTAAAAATGTCATTGACTTGCACAACTTTTTTCTTTAAAAAATCATCGACTCCGACCCCGTGTCCTGCCTTGTTAAACACATCGTAAGCTTTAAAATGTTCTCCAGAGTCAAGCAAAGAGCAACCCAATAAAAATTTTCCTGTAAAGCGAAACAGTCGAATAATAATAAATACTTTTTAAAAAAAAAATAAAAATTAAAAATTTTTTACAAGATACTCGTACTTACGAGTGTAACTATTTGAATGACACCAACGGCTCAGCAACCGAGTATATTCCTGAACGTGAAGATACTGTGAAGATGACAATAAAAATTCGGGAAATATCGTATTATTGCAAACAGGCCATTTGAAATTTAATTCCGTTAAGGAAAAAACTTTGAAAATTAACCGGAAAAGTTTGAATTAAAAAAAAAAAAAAAAAAAAAAAAACATTTTAAAAGGATACACAAGCTGAGAGAAAATATTTATGTAAGGTAGTAAGCTGTAGTGCCACAAACAAATCAAAGTGTGCGGAATTTCCCTTTTGGATAAGAGTAATCGAATAACGGTAGATCCGGCACTTTGCAAAAATAATTCGGCGATTGTTATATTTTTATTGTGGTACTGACTGCCACAATGAATCCAAGCATTCTTAATGAGTCCGTTAAGATTTAAAATGGAGGCACAATTTTCCCTTAAAAAAAGAAAAAAAAAATTGCAATAATGATAACAAGTAAAACAATAAGTGGAATCAGCAAAGATGTGATGGCTACTGAAAAATATAAAACATTTACAACGAATCCAATGATTGTGGCGGATGTATAGGAGTGTGAAACAACCAGACCAAAGTAAAATAACATTGAGTCAATATTGATGTCCTTTCTAAAATCCCATCTTCTAAACCTCCCGAAATTTTTTGCAAATCTACAAATTGTTGAAATGCACCAAGAGTCAACAGACGTTGAAATATTAAAAGACATCTGCACAATTCGTATTTGAAAAAAAAAAAAAAAAAAAAAAGTTCGCTCGTGAGTATTTACATGATTTTCGTTTTATTTACGCGACGCCATTACCAAATTACCGGACACTAATGATTTGTTGAAGGCTATTCGTCACAAAACTGACGGCGAATTGACTTCCGTATAAGTGACCCAAATGAATCAACCATTTCGTCTTTTCTATTTTATCGTATCCGTCGGGTAAATCAGGTTGACCGATGTCTAATAAATCCAAAAGCACAATCATTAACTCTTCGATATTATCTATTTGATCCACGTTAACCGCTACATTGTAAATAATGTCAAGATTTGAAAGCTACAAAAAATCATACTTTTTTTTTATTTTACACCCTACGATTTTGAAAAAACTAAAAAAAAAAAAAAATAAACTCACGGTATCTTCTTCTCCGGGATTTAAATCATTGCTAAAAAATTCATTCATGGCAGCTATGGGAGATTTTAAATGTTTTAAATTTTTATCGAAATTCATTTTCATCGAATAAGGCAAATTATCATCCAAATATAATAATATTTTAACTAATTTTAAAAGTTGCTTTGCACAACCAGGTGCTAAAAAAAAAAAAAAAAAAATTTGCGTTTTTTATTTTCAAATTTTATAAGCACTATTATTATGATTTAAGTGATCGCATTCTAAATGTACCTAAAAATTCTTTTTCGTGTTCAATTTCTTCGGCAGACAAACTGGCATTTAATGCAACAGCCTCCAATATATCCATTGGTCTTATTAACGAAACGTATAATTTTTTAATAATTACCACGCCGGAAGTAACAACGTCGACAACATCTGACCTGCTGAGTTCTTCAGATTCGTTTGATTCCGTATCATTTTCTTGATCCTGTCAAAGTTAAAAATTTGTTTTTTTTTTCGTTTAAGCATTATTATTATTGATAAAAAATTTACAAAGTAAAGTTATTGTGAAAAAACTTAAGATATCCTAACTTACCAAATCCATAAAGTTTTTATTTTTTCCATCCAATGTTTCATTTTTTTGAGGTATTTGATGAGCCAACAAAAGCAAACCAATGGGACGCGTTCCACTCTCGTAGTACTCGACACAACAGGAATAAAATTTTTGCCAACAACTGTTCGACAAAAAGAAATTAAATTTTTTACATAATTTTACTTAATAAACCATCGTAAATTTGCAGGTTTTTAATAAAAATTATTAAATGATTTTACTTGTTAAACATATCGATAACTTCTTCTTCAGAATAATCACGTTCTTCCAGTTCAGCATTGACTTGCGCATCAATCACAGCACAAACTCTTTCCTTAAGAACATGAGTAGGTAAACCGGTGTCAGTTATAATGTTTGATTTTCGATAAATCTGCAAAAATTGTTGACAATATTTAATATTATAATTAAAAAATTTTTAAACGTGTATTGAAATTTAACGTTAAAAAAAAAAAATTTAGTTTACACTTAATGCTTTATTTATCACTGATATTGGAAACCTTCCAGGTTGAAAAATAAAATCAATGTAATTTTGTTTTGCTTCCATTTCTTCATTTATGGGTATTTCCAAAGCATCCAAAGGATTTTCTAAAACACAAGACACCCAATTTCCGTTTCTGTAATAAGATACGCTGGCTTCACCGTGAGGAGACCGAAAAACTGCCCAAATATCTTCACTGTACGTAATAGCAAAGTCAATAACATCTTGATCCTGAAAATGATGAAAAATTTTAGTAAAAAAAAAAAGATGAAAACCGTTTGATAATTGAAATTGTAGCGGGAAATTCATACCTTTGGCATGAATGCTGAAAGAAACGGTTTTAAACTAAACGAACCGTTTTCAACATTCGGTTTTAATATTTGTATCGTAGAATGAGTTGAAAAACATAAAAGGATTCCAATAATAAAACTATTTGAATCTGGACCCTGAGCTTTTCTAATCATATGATCTTGAGCTAAAGTAATAAAACGATATTAGTATTTTATCCGGCGAAATAGTGAAAAATTTAATAAATTTCCAACATACTTCCTTGATTTCCAGATGGAGTAAAATCAGTAACTAAACTACAATATTTTTTCGACGTTGACCAAAGTTGAACGTTGCCGTCTTCACACAAGCAAAACAAATATGTCTCAGAGGCAATTTCTTGAAACAACATGCTAACAGCTATTTTTTCCTTATTATTTTTTCCTCTGCAATAAAAAATAAAATTACAGTTGAAGTCTTATAAAAATTGAAGAAATGTTAATAAAGCTTGACAGTACTATTGTTTATTGAAAATTCTAGAAAGTAAAAGAGATTTTTTACCTAAATGCCCGCGATATAAATCTAGGCATTATCAGAGCATCATTGTGCTGTTTTAATTCAGTAGAAGTAGAATTTCCAGTAATGGCATCTAATTTAATTAATAAAATCACGCCAGTATTGTAAGATAGGGCAAAAAAAAACTGCTGTTGGGAAATAGAAAGTCCTGTAGCACTTGTGCACGGGATAGGGGAATCAGCAACTGTAAAATAAAATAATAATAATCAAATTTAATAAAAAATTACATCAATTAATAATTTTCTTATTCGAATTGTGACTTTACCGGATGATGTGTTATTAATGACATAAAAGGATGCTGGATTTTTTGCATCATTACTAGTAGTCTCAGCAAATATACTTTTGGCACTGTATTCGATTCCCAACCTTGGAAATACATGTTCCTAAATAAATGTACTCACAATTAAAAAAGTATCCTTTACAAGGCATTTTCAATAAAATTTTGTTAATTTAAATTTTTTAAAGCAAATTAAAAATGATTATGAGATTACCTGACTATGAATAGAATCTGGATGTGGAAATGATAATCTATGAACTGATGATGCAGTGGCCACTAATATAACGACAGAGTTGAAAGCTTCATGTATAGTAATACCATCTAACACAGTTGTATTTACAAAACGGTATCTTATTCTATTTCCAATTAAATTAACATCAAGACTTTGCTCAACCAATTCTAATACTTCATGATGTATTCTCCAATAAATAAAACGATTTCTAGTGTAATACTTAGACTGATCTTTATATGAGTAACCGCCACTTCTTTCAGATACTTTAATATCTTGTAATGTGCTCTGTGTACCACCTTATAAAGATATAAAAATTAGTTTTCACTTTTTTCAAAATCAATTCGATGTCGTTTATAATAAAATTATTTAAGTTTAATTCCTTCAAATAACGTTAAAAAAAAAAATAACTTAACCTATAAAAAAAAAAATATAAATTTGCTATTACCGGTATTGAGAGTGAATTCTGTCCATTTTTCAACGGCCGTTTGATCAGGTATAATTTCTCGGTACCCTAAATTATATTCCATTTTTAACTTCAGTCATATATTTCGTTTTTAATACATTTTTCAAAGAAAAATTAACAGAATACACAAGCGCGAAGCTCGTTTGACATAGAGTTATTACATAAAACCCGGTTGAGAGTAATTTTAACCATAGAGTACAAATAAGTTATGTACAATTTAAATAAAACCGAACCGAAAAAAAATTTTTATTTATATAACATAACTATTTTTTTTTTCCTTCATTAGATTTATAAATTTTTCTTATGACTCTCAACTTAAGAAATTCATGAACATTTCGGGGCATAAAAATCCAAAATTCAATTGCATCATTTTTAAAAAATTATTCAAGTAAAATATTTAGAGAGAGATTTATGTATTTTACCATTAATTTTGTTTTTCAAATTAAAAAAAAGTTCTTTTAGCTGTTAAAAAAAAAAAAAAAAAATAAGAAAGAAATTTTAAAAAATTAATTCATTATCATTTTTAAGTTAAATTTTTTTTTAAGTTTGTTCCAAGTTATAAATAGTATACCGTCTATATAAACACGACATATGGAAGAAAAATCAGAGGATCTTCCAAAACACATGGGAAAATATAGGTAGCAGAATAAGTGATAAAATGTATAACGTTTCTGTGGGTCCTAGTAAAATTGTTGCCAAGACTAGAAGGGGTATTTATTAAAATTGTCTTGTTATTATTCATAGTATTATGTAATAAATAGTTAACAATATTAAATAATACTACATTTATCGATAATTATTTTTGTTTACTTTTTTATTATTATTATTATATTTATTATTTCTTTTAAGGCATATCACAGAATTTCGAAAGTTTTCAAAACCTTAGAAAACAGATTGATACTGACGAAAGGGAGGTTATGAAGTAAGTTTAATTATTCATTTTAACATTATAAAATAGGAAAATATTTAATAAAAAATTTTAATTATGTAATAGTTATCACAAGTTATAAGACTTTTAATTTATCTTTAATAAAAAAAAAAAAAAATCATTTTGTGTCCAGTTGTTTGTTTACAAAAATTTATTTATTTTTTTTGTAAATTAAAATTTTTTAAATAAATCATGTGATTTATTTAAATCAAAAATTAAAATTATTCTCTTTGCTATTCTATTTTATTAGAAAACAATTTGATCAAAGGTCAGTCAGTTCAATTAATAGGAAACATGATAACCAATTTAAATGTAAATGTTTTACATTAACTTTTATCAAAAAAAAATTTAATCGAATCATATTTTTATTATTTTAAAATTTAAAATAAATAAATAATTCTTATAATATTTATATTTTGACATCATTTACAAGACTCACAGTATATTTTTATTTTTTCAGTAGTCCAAAACCTGTTTTTCACACAAACAATAAAAAATTTAATTGTAGTAAGTTGCAAGAAGTTATATCGCCTCAACATGAAGAACTCATTAAATTTGTATCGGAATGTAAGTTATTAATAAAATTATAATTAAATAATAATAATAATTTTTCTTTGTTAAACACAAATCATTTATTTTCATAATTTCATTAACAGCATGGAGTAAGGTTTCTAAAGAATTAGAAACTGATAATGTTGAAAAATCGTCAGCATTTAGATGTAGTAAGTAGTTTGTATGTAAATAATATAAATAAACTTTTCTCTTTCGACTTTACCTATCAACTTATTATTTTGGCTTTAGGTAATTCTTCTACTTCTATTATTTACTATAAAGACACTGAACCTAACACATTCTTACAAAGTAAGTATTTTTATGTAACTTTTTTTTTTTTGTTTAATTACAATATTTACATTGTTTAATAATAATAATAATAATTTTTGTTTTAGATTTTAAACCGTTTGACTTGGAATCTTGGTGGGGTAAAAGATTATTTAATAATATTACAAAATCAATACCTTAATAAGGTATATTAATAAAAAAAAAAAAAAAACTGCTGTGACTGGCTATAAATAAATACTGGCAAGTTTTTTTTGTAAAAGATTAATGCCAGTAAAAAAAAAAAAAAAAAAAAAAAAAAAATAATTGAGTTGTTGTTATAGAAATTTTTGTTTTTTTTTTTTTTTTTTAAAATTTGTTATTTATATATAATTGTAATAAAAACAGTAGTTATCAAGTGAGAGAGAGAAAGAGAGAGAGAAAAAAAAAAAGATAAGAAAAATACTAAAAGTTTTTATTTGTAAAAAAAAAAAAAAAAAAAAAAAAAAAAAAAAGAAATTTTGTAAAAAAAAAAAAAAGGAAATCTTTAGAAATAATAAATTTGACATGTTTTAATGATTGTTGAAAATTATTTTATATATCTTTTAAATATGTTTTAAATCTAATGAAAAGAAAAAAAAAAAAAAAAAAGAAAGAAAATGTTTTTTTTTTTTTTGATGGTTTTTGTCTTGCAAAATGACCTATGAACCGATTTAAATTTTTTTTTTTTTTTTTGTTTTTTTTTTTTGTTTATTAATTAATTTATTTATTTACAATAACTTAAAAAAATTTATAATTATGAAAACTTAGCATAGAATGAATGAATGAATGAATGAATGAATGATTGAATGACTAAGTACTGTAATAAATAATAATAATAATAATTTTTCTATTTTTCTTGCTCTTTAAATTTTCGATATCTGGCTTTGTAAAATTTAATTATTTCTTCGTCGACTTCCAAATCACCCGTCAACGGAAGGAATCCCCAGGATAATTGACTGCCGCCACAAGAGGATCTACTCGTGTTTTCCGCTCTGTATTCAATTTCTTCTTCCGTAGCCGCATTCATTTCATTACTTATTTGTACTCCAACGCTAATAAATTTTTTAAATAGTCCCGAAGTGAAATAAGTATCGTTTTCTTTTTTTGTTATTCTAAAATCGAATGTTGCCGTGCTCGGTTTTAATCCTTTGTCAAAATACGTTGAATATAATTCTAAACTCTTTGCCGAAGTTCTCGTTGAACTTTTACAATTATCATTATTCGAATAAAGTTTTTCTAATTTTGTTTCATCCCTAGTAGACAAACTGTTTCTACTTAAACGTTTTTTAGAATATTTTATATTTAAATCCGAAACTTGACTGTCGAGCGAATCATTTCTCGACATATCCAAAACGCCATCAAAACTTGAAAATGTCTCCGATGATAAACCACCAAGTTCGGTTAATGTTTTCCTCCTTGATGAAGAACTTGAACTATCACATTTTTTACTTTTAATAATGTCTTCCGGATCTATAAATAAAAAAATAAATAATTTAAATTCGATACTCGGAAACGTTTTGATTTGACTTTATCCAAAATTGTATTTTTTATCTATTTATTGAAATCTTTAAAACTTTAAATAATATGAAATATATTTAAATGATAATTATCTTACTTGATAAATGATCCGTTGATTTCCATCTTTTAAACATTATATTTATTTTAGGTATTTCCATCATGATATTTTTTTTCCTATGGATTTTATCAAATTTATCTAAAAATCTTTGGCTATGAACATTATGTAAATTTGATTCTGTCCTTATTGGTTGCGGTGCATTTTTCATATATTCTAAAAAAAAAAAAAAAAATATATTATTATTATTTTAAAAAATATTTAATTAAACAATTTTTTTTTTTTTCTTTTCTTAAAAATTAACAACGTTTAATTATTTTTGAATATACAACGGTAAAAATTTATCATCTAGGGAAAATTTATTGAAAAACAAATTTTTTATATATTTTATTTTATTATATTTAAAATTTATGTGTAAAAAAAAAAAAAAAAAACATATATATATAAAATTTTAATATTATTTTATGGATTTTACAGTTCAAAAAATTAATTCGAACCATTACTTATCATCTTAATAAAATAATAATAATAATTTTATTAAATTAAAAAAAAAAATAATATAAAATAAAAAACCTGCTAAGAAAAGGCTATCTCCTGGTAAATTAATTATAAAAATTAATTTTTTAAACAAATTTAAAAATTCTTATATGTATATATATATAAATAAAAAATAATTAGTGAAAATAAATGAATAAATAAATAAGAAGTCAATCTACATAAATTTTAACTTATCAAATTATTTTAAATTAAATTAAAATATTTTTTTAACTAATTGGCGCGAAAATTTTTCTTTTTTTTTTCTATTTTTTACATACATTAATAGCATGTTTGAATGAATACACATATGTATATATTAAGTATTATTAATTAATTTTTATTAATTAATAAATTTTTTGTTTGCATAATTAATATTTTAATGCAAATTTTTTTTTGTTATAGGTAAAACGCGAGTTTATTTATTTTTTTTTTTTTTTGGATGTTTTACATAAATATTTTTATGTATTATTCTGATCTTGTTTCAAATTTAAAACTTTTTCTTCTTTTATCTTCTGACTTGCTCGAATCCGAACATGTAATGTCGATGCTACAAAAAACAGTAAGAGGGAGATGAAAAAAAAAAAAAAAAAATGAAGCCTTTTTTTTAATTAAAAACGAAATGGAAAAAAAAAAAAAAAATTCTTTGGCATTTCGTCTCCCTCTATAAAACCTCCCTAAAATTTTTTATTTTTAACTATTTAAAATAAATTTTAAGTAATTATAATAATAATAATAATAATAAATTATGACAAAAAAAATTTACCTATAAAACTTTCGGATTTTTTAATTTTTTCCTGTTTTTCATTTTCATTTTTTGGTTTTATTATTTCATTTCTCATCAAATTTAAACAATATTCTAATCTTTTGGCATTTGAAAATGGTAAACATTCCACTGTTCCTTTTTTAATAAAACTATTAACAAGTCTATTACATTTTTCTTTATCTTCTCTACACAGGTCACTGGTACTCTGTAATAATATTTCAAATAAAAATTACCTTACATGAAAAAAAAAAAATTTGCTGTATCATTATTTTTTAATGGAGATTTTAAAAAATTTGTTGTTTATGTTTGTTCATTAATAAAAAAAATTTAAATTTAATGAGAAAATTGAATATTACCACTTGTCCCCCTAATAATTTAATTTGTGATTTAAGTTTTCTATTTTCTTTTCTTAATTCTTCTATTTCTTTTATAGGATTAGACACTTCTACAGGTTTAACAGCATTTTTGATCAAAGCTATTCTTTCAGAGAATCTGCATGTTTGCAAAGATTCCTACAAGAAAAAAAATTATTATACTCAAAATATTTTTTTAAATATATTTTTTGAATTTTTATTAAAACAAATCAACTACCTCCATATCATTGACTGATAAACTAAATGTTGCTATCATTGATGTTATGCAATTTCCACCTAATGAGTTTCGCAAAAGAGCAGTCATTACGGAATTCCTGTAGGGAATGTGGACTCGACCTGGTTGACCAAGGGCTAATAAAACTTGTTCTAAATAATGCAACGATAAATTTATATATCGCGTCTCCCATGGATTAGCATTTGGACTTTTACATTTGCCCATTTTTTCAGATCTGAAATTCAAATGAAAATTCATTCGGTTATGCTTGAAAATTTTTTGGTAAAAAAAAAATTTTTTAAATACATTTTTGTTTACCCTGCTAAATCTACTAAATATAATACGGGTCTTAAAAGTAATTTATTTTCTTTAGAACTCGAAACTTCTAAGGTAATAGAAAATACAACGTGGGATCTTGAGGATTTTGGGTTACTTGATGTTTCCGCCATCATTTTATTTGCGTCTCCTCTTATAAGCAATTGAATAGCTTCGTAGGGGGATTTCACAGCATGGACGCTTAAATTACGAAACCTAGTCAATCCAGATCCATCTTCTATTACGTTAACGTGACTGAAATATTATAATTGAATATTGATAACGCACACACACACACACACATCCATCAAACTTATAATAAAATATTAAAATTAAATTTTACCTATAATTAGAATTAACATTATCATATCTTATCAAATCGTAAACGTGTTCATTATATATTTCACAATATGAAATAGATACAGTAGCATCGTCCTTTTTTAATTGAAATATTTGCTGAATAGCTCGTGGAATTATACCGGGATTTACCCATTTTTCAATATCCCCGGTCATGGTGTAAGTTTTTCCACTTCCTGTTTGACCATACGTAAATATGGTTCCATTGTAACCAGATAATACGCTGTAAATTGATTTATTATTATTATTATTATTATTAAAAATTAAAATTAAAGGTTGTAAAATTTTACAACTTACTTTTGAATCACAGGACTAGCTACTATGTCAAATACTTCTTCTTGTGAGGTGTTTTGATTAAATATTTTTTGAAACCTAAACAGTTTAGTATGAAACATTATTTTTCTTTTTCTATTTTTTCAATGAATAAATTTTTTTAAATTTAAAACTTTACCTAAAGGTTTTCTTCGCTGGTAACGGTTTAGAGATTGCAAAAGAAATATAATCTTTCATTATTGCCTTCGTGTATTTCGAATTCCTACAAATTATCAGAAATCGTTCAAAAAAAAAAATTTTAGTAAATTGTACAAGATATACACAAATTATACATTTTCGGTTAATTTTTAACCGAAAATAAATTTTAAAAAAATTCATGGATTGCAATTTAAAATATAATTTTGTAATTGACTTTTCTTTTTTTTTTTTTTTTTGAATTAAACGAAATTACAAAATTATTAAAAATTTATTAAAAAATTACCTTACTGAGAAAGTTTTTAGGAGTAGGTTTTATCCTCCCATAAACCGCTACCCTAACGCATGTCATAATTCATTTCAGAAATCATTTTTTTAAAAACTACGAATCGGTTGAAAATTTGAACCGAAATCTAAAAAAAAAAAAAATTTTTTTTTTTTTTTTTTGATTTAATTTTATTAATAAAAAAACGATTTTAAATAAATCGAAAATGAAAATTTATACTTTTTTTAATATTGTATCCTTGATATTTTCCTACCATACTTTAAACCTTGACACAACAAAGAGCAAGATAAATTGTTTACATATAATTTTTTTTACAAAAATTTTTCATATTATCATCAAATATCGAAAATATAAAACAAAAAATTTTTTTTAAATGTTTGGCCAACCTAAACAAATCACAAAATAAATTTTTATTTTCAAGTACAAGGGAGAAATGTCAGATAATGTTTTTTATATATATTTTTTTTTTTTACTTTTTTTTTTTTTTTGAATTTATTTTTATTTTTGCGAAATATAAATTTAATATAAAATTTAAATTTAAAAAATTTTTCAAACTCAAACGTTTAATTAAACTTCTTTTAAAATAAATAATTAAAATGGTTTGAAATTTAAATATGATGATGATAATTAGTGCGTAAGGTTTTGTTATGGACTTTTCAAATTTTTTTTTTTTTTTTTCATTTCAAAAGTTGGCAAGCCGTGAATTAATATTTTAACTTGTGTAGAAATTTATGAAAATTTTATAGTGAAATGTTTTAATAATTTAGTTTTAATAATTAAGTTTTAAGTGTTTTTTCACATGCAAAACTGCAGGTAAATATTATTTAATTATGTTTTCATTTGAATTTATGATTTATACAAATTCATAATCGAAACTGAAACCATTTTGAAATTTTGAATGCGCCCAAAGGTAAAATGTCGTTACTATACTTGAAATATCTAAAGATAAATACTTGTTACGAAATATCTAAGGAAAATCAAATATATGTAACACGGTAAAATTAATTTATAGTAAATAATAATTAATATTATGAATACTTAATATATTTGGCAAAATTTAATTTGTAACTATTACAATTTAAAAAATTGTATAGGGAATAAAGGTAAAATGGAGAGGCAGGTAAAATAAAAGTAAGAAAAAATTTTTAACAAAAATTTTATATTAAAAACGCGTATATCAAAATGACCAAAAAAAAATATGTAAATAATTAAAATTATTATCGTTTAAAAAATATATAAGTACATTTTAACAAATAATATTTGTTTTAAATATTTATATTAGTAGTTTATACAAATTTGATTCAATGTTCTACATTCGCTAATTTAAAAACGTAGCCGTCACAAAAAAAAAAAAAAAAAATTAAAGAAAACACAGAGCGGTAAGAAAGCGTGTATTGTTTTTTTATAAAAAAAATTTTTTTTTTTTTTTGTTTTAACGTAAAATCTAATATCACAATTTCACATATTTTTTTTTTAATACTTTCTTAAAATTTAATTTTGTTTCCATCTCCGGTTTTTTTTTTTTTTTTTTCTAAGCCTTTTTCACGTTGTGAAGAAGCTAAAATACTTAGAGCTTAGACAGACCTTGGTTGGACAACTGAAAATGAAGAGAAAAATTTTTAAAGTTTTCTTGTTCATTAACATTGAAATTATTTAAATGAAATACTTACAGTGGGGTCTGTTTTCTTCAATGTTGGCATCAGCCATCGGTGGTTTCAACTCTTCAGTTTTGACATCAACCTCAGGCACTGGAAATGCTTTCATGGATTTTTGAGCTGGTTTTAAAGCTTTGCTTCCTGGAAGTTGAAAAATGTCAAAAATAGATGATGGAAGATCCATAAATCTTCCTTCTCTGTTGTTAGCAATGTCATCATTTTCTTTATTTTTTTCCATGTGTGGAGCTACGGATGAAGCTTCTTCTTCGGTTTCACTGTTTTTTTCAGTTTTAGCATCAAAAACGGAAAAAATTTCGGATTCTTTCATTGCTTGTGGAATTGGGAAAACTCGTGCTCCACGTCCTTGTCCATTTGGAAGAAATGCTTGCTCTTCGAATGGAGATTGTTCATTTGCTTCTGGTTCTTTTTCTTGTTGTTCGACTTTGAAAATTTGTTGATCTTGTGCATCGGCAGGAATAGGAATCGGATGTTCGTTATCTCTGTCGAAAATTTCAACGCGTTCAACTTTAGCTTCGACCATGCTTTTTTCATTTTCCATATCTTCATTTTCATTTTTTTCTTCTAATGGAGAATTTTGAGATTCATCATCAAGAGGTGAACCTGGTTCTTTTCTAATAACTTCGAATTTTTTAAAGAAGGGAAGTCCTAATGGTCCCATCAATCCCATTGGTTTGTTTTCAATTCTTTCGATTTTGATATCAACTGGGATTGGGAATGGATTGTTTCTGTTCATTAAAGGACGGATTCCCTTAAAAATCATGTCTAAAATGGCATTTATTGGAATAGGAAATGGTCTTGGTGGCATTTTTTCAATTTTAATTTCTGGAGTATCGATATTTTTAGATTCTGAGTTAGGAGCCAAAGGAATAATTGGGGTATCTTCTTCGAAATCTTCCTTTTCTAACTTGATGGGAATAATTTTGGTGATTTCCGTTATGATAGGCAAATGATTTTCTCTCACTTCTTCGGAATCAATCATATCCGGAAATCTAATTTTTCTACCGTTGTCCACTGGTCTTCTTTCAAAATTCAATGGGAAAACTTTTGGTAATTCAGGCATCAAAGTGTTAACCATTGGTTCTCTTCTTTGACCTCTTGGTCTAACATCTACAGTTATTGGGCGAAAATTTCTATTTTCTTCAATGAAATTTGGTTCGCGGTTTTCAACATTGTTTTGAAAGGATGGATTAACTGGTGGTGGCATGGAAAACGGTTCTCGAGGTTCTTGACCCATTGGTCCCGGCATTCTAAGCACTCCTGGATCTCTGACTTCAACTGGAAGGGGTCTGGTTTGTTGGTTTTGTTGTGGTAAAAATGGCATTGGCGGTTCGGTGAATCGTGGTTCTTCTTGTTTGAAATTCTAAATAAATAATATGTAATTATTTAAACAATAAAATTAACAACAAGAAAATTTTTTTTTTTTTCTCCATAATAATTACATTTGTGAAACTCACCTCTGCGTGAAATTGTTGGGCTTGTGGAGGTAACAAGTGATGAACGGGAACTGGTTCTTCTTTTATTTGTGGCTCAGCTCTGATAGGCAAATGAGTGATTTGCATTCTAGAAATAGGTATGTCATTCACAGCCATTGGATTAATAGGCATACGATGGTGTTGAACGTGATTGAGTGGTACTCTATTTTGATTGATTCTGATTTCCTTAAGAGGAATAATTTCAGGTGGAGCAGGAACATTCATTGGTCGATTATTAAAGAATTGTGGTTGTGGTTGAGGAACAAAAAGTTTTTGGGGAAGCAAAATTTGTTGTGGTTCAGGTCTGGGTTGTTGCTGCAAAAATATTGGCTGTTGTTGTTGTTGTTGTAATTGTTGTTGTTGTTGCTGTTCTTGTTGTAATAACATTTGTTGCTGTCTTTGACGTTGTTGTTCAGCCATCAATATTTGATGAAAGATTTGAAGAGGAGGTTGTGGTCTAAATTGAGGAATACTTTGAATTGGAATTTGTTGAATTGGTTGTTGTTGTTGTTGTGGCAATTCTACAGGACGGAATGGAATGTGTTGAATTTGAATTGGTTGTACTGGAGTTTGGGGTACTGGAATTCGTTGGATGGGATTTTGTTGAATTGGGATTTGTTGAATTGGAATTTGTTGAATTGGGATTTGTTGAATTGGAATTTGTTGGACTTGTTGAATTGGGATTTGTTGGACTTGTTGAACTGGGATGTGTTGCATTTGTTGAACTGGAATTTGTTGCATTTGTTGAACTGGAATTTGTTGCATTTGTTGAACTGGAATTTGTTGTATTGGAACTTGTTGAAGTTGAATATGTGGGAGAATGCTGTTTAATGGAATTATTTGTGGAAGTTGTTGAACTTTGTTGAGAAGATGATTTGGCAAGGGAAATATAATCGGTTGCAAATCTTCAACCTGTAATAAATTAATAATAATAATAAAAAAATGCATTTTACTTTTATTTAGAGTTAATCGATAAATGCAAAAGTTATGAAATGAGAAAAATTTATGAAATTGTTTTTAAAATTCTGATTACTCAATTCCCTGCAATTATTAAATTTGTCAACATTTATGTCAGTCAGTTATGACACAAATTTTTATTGTTTTTACCTGACTGTCATTTTCATTTTCATTTAATCTTTCTTCATTGTCTTGTTCTTTCTTTTCGTTTTCATCGCCTTTGCAAATGACAATTACTTGTTCACCAGTTAAATGTTGAAGTCTTGGTGGAGTGGTAACATTTAAACCAAATGGGAAATTATCCGATGGAAGATTTAAAGACATTGGTGCATGATCAACCAATTCTTCATTTCTTCTTTTTTCAACAACACAATTAACATTACCCTTTATGTTCTTTTGCATGAGGATCTACATAAAAAAAAAAAAAAAAATTTAATTTTTAAAAAATAAAATCATTGAAATTTCATAACAAAAAAAAAAAAAAAACATAAAAAACATTTGTTATTTCGTACATTAACGACTTCATCCAAATCCAAAACATTTTTTTCATTTGATTTTTCGGCAAAATTTGATGAAGGTGGTGGTGGGGGTGGAATTAAACCTTCTTCATTATCTTGAGGGAAAATTTTTTCCGTAACTTTTTCGTAACTC